TTATAATCTTTTTACTGTATATTGTGGACAATGTTGAGAAAGTACAGATGCAAACATCTGTAATATTATTACAGTCCATTTTAATGTACATGTTTGCAATATTCAGAATATCTGTTTTGGATATAGCGATCTGCTATTATCTTTTTTGTATGATGCTGTATACTGCTATTTAAAAAAATCCGTCATTCCGAAATTAATGTGCTATCTGGTGTATTTTTATCATAGCTACAAGTAATAACTTTTTTCTTATTTTGGAATGTAATTTCAATCTGCAAATTTATCTTGATAATAATTCTTTATTGTGCACTTCTCGTGTTTCTAGAGTTTATTCTATTGAAAAGAATGGTTCGACTATTTTGTTCATTATGCATGTTTTTAATCCCTTTCTCCTTTGGTCATCAATGATGGTAGGGTAATAAGTCAGTCTTCTGAATCAAATTCAATTGTTCAACAGTCACACGTATTAAATAAGAATAACACAGTCAGTGTGGTTTTATCATTACATAACACAGTCAGTGCGGTTTTATCATTACATAACACATTTATTACAAACACCCCCTTTTTGTTAATATTTAAATTTTATAAACTCTCATCTTTATTTTCCCTGTTTATTAAGTTGCCTTTATACTACATGCATGCCCCTCCCCCTCCCCAAATTGATTGACTCAGTCTCTCCAATTGGGTGACGCGATGGTGTATTTATTTATTTATAATTTATTTATTTAAAAAATAAATAAAGAATAGATATACTAATTATATCTATACAGCCATGTAGAGGCCTGCCCATCTCAATTTCGATAAAGAAATGTTGAGGAGATGGAACAGAGAATTCAGACTGGAAGCACTACGTTAACAAAAGAAAATGGCTCATTTTTCTTTTCACCAATTAAAGATTTATCATACTAAAATTTATCAAATATATATACATATATACAATATACAAAATACAAACAATACATAACACGTTCAGTGGATTTTAATCATTACTTAACAAAGTCATTTTGCTTTATCATTACAAACAGTCAGTACAAACACAGTCAGTGTGGTTTATCATTACATAACACAGTCAGTGTAGTTTATCATTACATAGCAGTCAGTACGTAACACAGTCAGTGTGGTTTATCATTACATAACACAGTCAGTGTGGTTTATCATTACATAGCAGCCAGTACGTAACACATTCAGTGTGGTTTATCATTACATAACACAGTCAGTGTGTTTTATCATTACATAGCAGCCAGTACGTAACACAGTCAGTGTGTTTTATCATTACATAGCAGTCAGTACGTAACACAGTCAGTGTGGTTTATTTAAGAAATAAGGTATCATTTTTAAACATCTATCGGGATATACATACGGGTCGGTCACGACATTAAATTCCATAAAGCCCGAAGGGCTTTACGATGAATTTAATCTCGTACCGACCCGTATTTATAGCCCGATAGATGTTTTAAAATGATACCTTATTACTTATATTTACATTTGTGACTAATTCATACTTTATATTTGCCTGATTGTGACTTTTTACGTGTGAAATGCATTATTTTTCAAACCCAACGGCATGTAAAGGGTGTTAAGAAAGTTCGTTCCACATTTTTCTTTTATTTTCGAAAAGAAAATTGGTGAGAATATATTTACAATTTGTGATATTTCATGTTTACAGAGTCCATTCTTGCTACTGATTAGGTTTTAACTGTCTTTTGTTAAATCAGTAAGGAGAGGTCAAGTATTTAAAAATATGATGTCTGTTCAGCAAAATCAGGGATTACGCACATTTGTGACATTTAGTAGGCATACCGGTCAAAACATCCTTTCAAATACTATGTAAAAAATGATCAAATCTGTGAAATATTTCAAACTGATTAACCTCTTCTTTTGAAAAGTGATATATCGTTCTTATACCTATGCTCATCAGTTTGTCTGATGCAAACTAAGCTATGAAGTAACAAAAGTAAATTATCCTTTATTTTCACTAAAAATGACCAGCATTTCTATCATTCGGGTGCTTTAAAGATATCATATATATTTCCATTTGGAAGAAAAATCATATAATTCCCTGGTAGAAATGAATTGCTATAAACCTAAAGCACACTCTTGTGATTTTGTCAGACTTGAAAATTAATCTCTTTAATTTAGCACTACTTTGAAATTTTTGAAAATATTTTATCCCGGAACGAACTTTCTTAACACCCCTTATGTAATTCACTGAACGCGCGTCGACCCTTTATGACGTCACTGAGAAATTACGTCAAACGATTATCCATACGCACATCTTTGACCTCTTGACCCCATACCTGTATTTATACAGTTATAGATACGGATTCCTTTCAGTAGTGTTATATAAAGGAAAACATTTGCAAATGTAAATATTATTACATAACACAGACAGTGTGGTCTATCATTACATAACACAGTCAGTGTGGTTTATCATTACACAGCAGTCAGTACGTAACACAGTCAGTGTGTTTTATCATTACAAACAGTCAGTACAAACACAGTCAGTGTGGTTTATCATTACATAACACAGTCAGTGTAGTTTATCATTACATAGCAGTCAGTACGTAACACAGTCAGTGTGGTTATATCATTACATAACACAGTCAGTGTGTTTTATCATTACATAACAGTCAGTACGTAACACAGTCAGTGTGTTTTATCATTACAAACAGTCAGTACAAACACAGTCAGTGTGGTTTATCATTACATAACACAGTCAGTGTAGTTTATCATTACATAGCAGTCAGTACGTAACACAGTCAGTGTGGTTATATCATTGCATAACACAGTCAGTGTGTTTTGTCATTACATAACAGTCAGTACGTAACACAGTCAGTGTGGTTATATCATTACATTACACAGTGTGTACGGTTTTATCTTCACGTAACACATTCAGTGCGCTTTTATCATCATGAGCGTCTTCTTTATGCCTGTACCTAAACTAACAAGCGGGTACCAAGGATTGTGCCAGGAATCAGACGACCAGGCGCCGTTCAGGAAGGCGTGACAACAGGCGTGGAACCACCAGCCTCCTCCTCCAAAATCAATGGCGCAGTGATACAGAGGAGCTTTGTCATTTTCCCTGTCTGGGGTAGAGAAGTACATCCCAGACAGATCTCCACCAGTACTCCCTGAGTCTAACATACTGTCTCCTGTTGAATTACAGTGAATCAAAATTAAGGCTCATCGATACTCTGATAAGAGAGATAACTCTTAATGACATAGATGTCTATTATTCTTTTATAGATTTGCCAAGTTGAATTGTCTTCTTTGTCCAATTTCGCCCAGCAAGCTATGCTATGATTGTCTAAATTTTACCTATAAAATACATTTTGTTTTAAAAATCATTACTATTCAAACAACATTTTATGAGTGAACAGAGGGTTTATGAACCTTAAGACATACACGGTACATGGTACACTAATTGTCACCCCTGAGATTTCAATTTAGCTTAACTGATATTTTACTCTGTTTTTAAAGTTAAGTTCTTTGATTGATGATTTAACCTCTGATTTATCAATTGTAATTATTGTCTTTACAGCTGGATAAAATGACTGTCCATCCGATTTAATTTCACTTTTTGCATGTACGACTAGACTACTTTCTTAATCTTAACTAGAATACGTTATGAAATACAAGTAGAATACGTGATGAAATACAACCTTACGTAATGCATTCTCGGTTTTCAAATTTAGATAAAATAGATTCTACCTTTAATTTACCGGTAGATATGATGTCTCAATTCCATAATACGAATTTTTCTCACAAACTTTTCTACTGCCTTAGTTATTGATATTTCAAGCTCGATGATAACCATGATGACTTTAATTTTAATTTTCCTTACTTCTGCAGTATTATTTTATGTACGTTTCATCTTAGATACTGTTCGTTATTTTCGTATGAAGCATTCATGTATAATTTACGAATCGATTTTAGATATCTCCAGCTGATTACACAGACGACTCACCTAAGGTCCCTTCCGTAGGTCCATCCAGGTAAAGTCTGTAGTTGTCTGTTTCGTTGTTTACAGAGAACGTCCCGTACTGTTGGTATAGAGTGGTTCCATTGGTCAAAGTAATGGACACGTACAGAGAAGATTTGTTTTTAGTTAATTGATGGATGACGTCATTTCCTGAAATAAAACAGTGAATAACAAAGATGGCATGATATATTTTCTTGAAATAGATCTATTTAAATTAATAGTTACATGTATCATATATATATTTTGGTGTACCCTGCATTATTAAGGTGACGGGTTGTGATGAGTGCAAAACCGAGTATCTGCCCTTCGCCCAAGTAATGCAGGATACACCAAACTAAATATTCAAATACTGTCTTGTATCGTGGTCCAATTCAAAATATTTACATTTGATCAAGTGTATTTAAATGATTATTCGTTAGGAAACAGCCAAGCGCCAATGAAATACAATTATCCCATCGTGTGAATAATCTTTCCCGCTATCCGGCGCAAATTATGCATAGGTCAATTCACAGTCATCAGATATGAACGCGTTAAATGACGTCAAAGCAATGGGACTCAAGACAATCAACCTGGCCGATATAGAATTTTTTTACAAACTTCAGCAAGTATGTGATTAAATCGAAATATCAGAGAGAGATTACCTATGCGAGAATTGGATGACAAGGATCTTTACAACAAACCAATATAATGCATCACTGCTAGAATGGTAAGTTTAATTCTGTTTATTTCAAAAAATGAAGCTTATTTCAACGTTTGGTATACTATATAACATAACTTGGGGCAGTTTACACATTGAAAACCGCAAAGTAGTTTATAAAAAAAGCTTAATCTGTCCCAATTTATGTTATATCGTAAAACATAGTTGAATTAAGCTTCATTCTTTATAATTTATTTTCAATGTAAACACTGACACAATATTTCCCCCGGAAAGAAGTCTTCACATATTGCATATTTTTAAAGTGACGTCCAGCGGAGTAATACGTTTTTGACGTAGGTCATTTGTTATAAAAAATGGATAAAATCTTTAACCCAATCAAATAACGTGTTACAACTTAAATTGAATTTTAAAACGATAACAAGCTAATGTTTTGTCTTTTATCACTCTAAAACTATCTGCAATCTTTAAAAACCCCGATTTTTACAAATATATAAAGTTACATCAATAAAAATGAAATCCATCTGACTGGGTTTTCCATAAGAAATATTTTGATATACAAAAGATGTACGTAGATCTATATATTTCAACAAAAACGTCATTTTCCTAGAATTTTCGGGTTGTGTAGATTCCTAATTGTTCAAATTATGACCCCCAAGGGAGGTGTAGGGCGAGGCCAAAATAGGTATTACAAGGAGGCTACTCTGGTAATGAACGGCATCACCAGTGTTACTCAGGTGAGCAATATGGGCCCATTGGCCTCTTATTGGTAGACCTAAGCCACATTAATATTGCTAACCATTTTAGACTCTATATCTATACCAAGTATTAGATACATAAAATAAAGCACAAGAAATAAATACGTATATAAGTATACAATGTACCTATCCAATAAGACGAATATACGGAACCAAAGCCTTCTTTGTACTCATTCCAAGTTGAAATCCGTTGATCCGTCAACACGCCTCTGTATAACCTATTGGATTAAAAAAAATAGCAAAATCCTTTCAATAATTCTTAATCATATATTCTATCTGTTTTTATTTCATACAATTAATTAAATTAAATTAAATATAATTTAATATTAAATAATTATTTATCACACTGACCGTCCAACCTCCATTTTTAATATCCATATCACAGTAAACATCCACTGAACGGTTGTACCAGGGATAGATCGTATAAACACAGGACGCAGTAAAACCGTCAGCAAGCAGACTTTTACAGTCCAAAGGACGCATGTTCTCCAAAACTTATCAAAGGAAAAACAAGAATTAATTGTATCTAGATATAAAGCGTAAAAAAGAAATGTGAACTATTTATTGCAATTGCTTAACAATTATTTTTTATAATTATAATTACTTTTTAAAGTCTTCTTCTAGTCTAAACTTTTTAAATAATCTCATACTAGCTCTAGAGTGCAAATAAAATTTTTATACGAAATTAACTATCCAAAATGATCAAACATATCTGTCAAAAGTTGAGGGACATTTATTTTTTTTTTTAAATTTAACCCTCTTTAAAAATGAAACCGGCTCTGGATTGGAATCCACAAGGAAAGAGGAGGGTTGGGAGACCAAGGCAAACGTGGAAGAGATCAATAGAAACAGAAGCAAAAGAAGCTGGATTTACCTGGACCCAACTAAAAGGGATAGCCCAAAACAGAGTCCGATGGCGCGGAGTGGTTGCGGCCCTATGCTCCCCAAGGAGCGAACAGGAATAAGTTAAGTAAGTCAAGTCAAAAATGAAAAAAAATGGAAGAAAGTTTTGCGTATGATTATGTCATTTTCCTAAAATAAGTATCAATCCTTTAAGGCAAAATTTATTTTCCATAAACTTTTCTAACTAAAAGATCGTGCGAACTCAAGATTAAATCTTTTCTGACTACAATTGTAAATAATAAATATCATTGTTTCATTGATATAATGCTTTATCTATGTAGTTTCCGCTGCATTTAAATCTTATCCACCTGAAGCGTTGTGACAATTATTTTTTGAAGTCATAAAAGCAGAAAAAAAATTATATCTCTTTCATTTCCCCCATTATCAGAAACTATTCAAAAGTGCATGCATCAAAATGAATCTATTAATATTTAAAGAACTTTGGATTATTTTATCAATCATATTTATTCTCACTGATGCTTTTTTTCAAATTGAGGATGATAGGAAATGAAAAAGTAGCTATGAATTATTAAGTTTGGTTATTTTCAAAGATAGTCTTTGAGCCTGCTCACAAATATGACATTGCATAAAAACATTTTACAGTAAACGTCATATTTCAAGTAGAACCTTCGTCGAATGACCTAATTTCCCGTACTTTTTGGTTTCAATATAAATTGAAGAAAATGTTGCATTTTGAAAATTCATTGAATTCAAAATAAAATCATTCCAAAATAATCTGAATACTTATATTGAATTTATATATTTTTGGTTATAAAGCTTAATGACAATACATTTCTTAACATTTGTTAATTTAGACAAGTCTATAGGTACGAGCTGTCATTTACTAGATCTTGACCTTAACCCCTTTCCCCGCTGTCATTCATTTTAAAGAATACATCATTTCCTATCTCTAAGGCAAAACGCATATTCAGTTTCCCTGCTTCATTTCTCATGCGTTTTTCTTGTGATTTAACCTTTTTTTGGACACCATCAAATTTAACCATTTGAATTTGACCTTATAGCGTTTAACACAATTTACAAAAAAATCTAAACTTTTACTTTGGACATAACTTTTGTACGGTAGAAACTAGACCTTTAAAACTTCACAAATGTATTCTGAATTTGTTACAAGACGTTTCATTGGATACCAGTATCTTTGACCCTTTGACCTCGCATTGGGGATAAGGAAGCATACAAAATATTCTGTCTTGACTTATTCAGTGCTACATAATGACGTCATAGTAGGCGAGATGACGTCAATTTTAGAACACAAGTTTTCGTAATATTGGTATTTAGAGATGTTATTTAACTCTAAAAATGAATAGAAATGAATAGAAATGTGTAAACATTAACAAAAATAAAATATTCTGTCATTTTTGTTAAAATCTACCACATATGTGTACATGTACATCAAGTAACTTGGGAATTGATCATGTCGTGTAAAGAGAATTTGGCTAAGGAGACATTTACAAGGATATGTTAAATGGAGTTTAAAAGCAAACATCGTGAATAATTTGTGAAATTCATATGGTGTTCTGTTAATAAAACAGGTATGCTAATTTATTTTCATCGATTATATTCTCTTTCGAAGACAGTCATCTATATACGCATCTCGGACGGCCTTTTCTCTGTCATTTGTGACAAAAATAATGCAATAGAACAACAATAAGCTGTATATTTCAAAACATAAGCTTTGTACAGATGGTAAGTTTGCCTCCTAAAATACTTGGAAAGTACTGCTAGAATCCCGAGTTAAACAGGGTTTTACGAAAAATCTCGGTTCAGATGTAAAAAAAAAAAAAATCAAAACATCGGGTAAGGTTTTGTGCAAAAGTGTGGAATAATTTTTATACTTACGGGACAGTGTGATTCTAGCAGCACTTTTGAGGCAAAATAGATGTTTTTCAACTACATTATTTACTCAAAGAAATTATTAAACCCCTGGGTATTGTTGTTTTGTTATTAATAGAAGTCACGTGATGCCGTGGTGGTGGTGCACGTCGTTGTTGCGCTGGACAATATTTTATCATAAGCCGAAAGATAATAATAGTTTACGTTTATCAGCGGTTTTGGTAAATTATAAAACTTAATTTTCTATAAAAAGTCTAAGTTTCCCGAGAAATGACTTATATGCTCCCTTAACATACCCGCGCTTGACTTAGGGATTTATGTACTTCAAAAAACTAGAACCATGGCCGATTACTTTCAAAAGTAAAGGCTAGGGCTTTTATTCTTCACATATTTAATCCATATAACACGACATCTCATTGGATACCAGGAAGGTTTAGGATTGGACTTATATTTTAAAAACTTTAACCTTTGCCATAATTTTGAACGGTTTAGGCTGTGGTTTTCATATTCCACACATATAATACTAGTGACAAGATCTTTCATTGGATTTGAAGAACTTTGATCATTTGACCTTGACGTTAGAGTTTGATCTACTTTAAAAAATACAACTTTAACCTTAATTATAACTTTTGAACAGTTAGGGGTATGGCTTTCCTATCACTCATATATAATACTTATGAAAAGACCCTCTCTATAAACCAATAATTTTGACACTTCGATTTTGACCCTGGAGTTTGACCTACCTTACAAAAATTTATTCTTGGCCATAACTTTTTGACAGGTGGTGCTAGGACTCTCATATTTTAGAATGCTTTTCTTGTGAGAAAACCTTACTTTGGGTACCGGCTTGTTTAGATTGGATTTAAGAAAAGTTTAATCTTCGCTATGATGTCCTACGGGACATCGGTGTTTCATAAACACATCTTAATGATAAATGTTAAACATTTTTAATCGGAAAGCAGCTTCTTACAGTCATTTAATAATGAAATCCCATTTAAGCGCAACAAGGTCAAGAATAGTAGCATCGGTGAACAACCTATTTTTTATTAGTTGGAAGCGAAAGCTATATATTTTAAACGCTTTTTGTAATCATTTAGGTATGTTCTTCATCATATTACAGATTGAGAACATTCTAACAAATACTTTTGAAAAAAAAAATTACAAATGTAGAGTTAAAACTTTCTTTTGCCTATTTTTTAAAAACATTAACTTACCTTTTACGTCATTTGAATGAAACAGAATTTAACCTTGAGAAATATTGCTTGAAACTATTTAGTTAAGAAAGTCTTTAAAAGGCCATGCTTTTTTGTGATTTTTCACATTTTTCTTTATGACAAGTGCCCCTAAAATAACTGAAAATGTGTAGCCTCAGTATGTGATTATCATTCCAGTTTTCATGGAATCCACTATATTCAATATCAAGGAAACATATCATGGGCTTATAACTGATTGATAACCAAGTACTTATTTCTCATTTTGTTTGAAAGTCTTGTGACAAAGGCTTTTTCGTTATATGTTCTACCTCACGAAATTCGAGGGCTGCTTGAAAATAATTGTATATGTGCATATGTACATCGATCTAAAGTAGCATTGACTTAGCTTCATGAAGTAACGAAATTTGCAACGCTGGTCCACGTTATTGAGTTCGTAATAATTGATGGTTGTCCGAATCTTTTATTTTTACTATGGTTTAATAATTTTTCAGAGAAAAATTACCAACCCATAGACATGTTTTATTCTCAATCTTATTGCTTCAGCAGGTCATTTAGTTGCTGCAGCGCCCTAACGTCAAAATCCATTTTGTCATCTATCTTCATATTGAGCTTAATCTTTTTTTAATTATTTCAGTATTTATGATCGATATTTTGGCAAAATAACACAGAATGAATTCAAATGAAACATATGATGAGGGTAAAATATAAAAAAAAATAATAAAATTATTTATGAATCTGTTACGGTGAATTTTATATACAACAGAAAAGAAGGAAGAAAATATTAGTAAAATATTTCTTGATTTTTTTCAACTCTTGAAGTTTGTCAAAAGTATATGCAAAGTTTTGCAAAAGACGTTCATTATAAAGAAGATTATTGTACATGTATAGTCTATTTCTAGTCCCTATATAACCTATACAAGCGCAAACAGTTCATATCACTACTTATTAACCGGATTTGAGACTGTATTCACAGGAAGGTCGTCGTCAGTGCGCGTGCAGTGGCATTTTGCCGTCACATTGAACACTTCAATCAACGTTGTACACAATGGATGTAACTAAGCAGAAAAGGCTTTTAAATTTTAAAAAATCATTTTTAATGTTGCCATACTAACCTTAAAACATAGCAATCAATTTTTGCCTGATCTTAGTTTAGGGTATCAAAGTATTTTATCATAGAGACTGAAGAAATTCTAAGACTATGCGTACCAGAGCTCCTATTTAAAACTTCAAGTCATTACAGAGAATGACTCTGAAAATGAATCTCTGTAATAAAGTAAATCAGATTTAATCCTATCTGAAAAAAATGTATAAATTTATTTGTAAAAATAATTTAGTATGCTATATATATATTAATATTTTTTTAAAGTAATTGTTTAGACAATACAAAGACTTTGTTCAATAATACTCTTCAACAAAATTTTAAACTTTCCGATTTCTAATTAAACTGCGTTGGATTAATTACTTTTTAGTATTTTAAGGTATCCAATAAAAATACTCACTCATACAATACGTCGACTACAATCATAATAAGTACATTGTACTAAATTACCTTCCGTGTCCGGAATAAAGTATCTCCATCCTACTTCCGGTCCTGCTGAGTTAGTTGAATGACATCCGGTGTAAACTCGGCATTTCTGTCTTTGAAAATTGAAACCAAAGAATGTACACCCCGGACCACACATTGCAGAGCACATAATCAGTGAATGAGCTTCATATTCAGCCAACAGGTTCTCCTGAAGAATGTTATCATCTAAGTCTATTTTAGCTGTGTAGCGCCTTGATACAGATGTGGAAAGCCTGAATAGAACTGGGAATATAATTCCCCAAAATCCCTTGTTCATCATAGTTGTTTCTGAAGTCTTCAATGAATAATATCTGACATTGCAAGCATTGATACAGTAAAAAAAATGAGTTATCTTTATTTTCAAACTGAATTCGTAATTAACCATTTTCTGATTGGATGGATAATCTGAGGTCTAATAAATCGACCAATGGGCTGGTCTACAAGAGCTTAAAGACTGATGAACATAAAATAAGTCAAAGTAAATTAAATTATATTTTAAGACTTTTTAATCTTTTGGTTGAACCTGCACAGGGAATAACATATTGCAAAGTGTAGATTGGACTTTTGTCATCTCAACAGGTGGATAAAATGACGAATGACGCGATTTATTTTGACATTATACACTGACTACTTATTGAATGTAAACCAGAACCCAAATCACTATACCATCTTACATAATGCTTTCCTTACGTTTATATCATGTAAATGTGGGTCGTACCATTTTAAAAATAGATAATTTCGACTGGAAATAAATCACCCATGACCAATTTTTTTTCTAAAAGATGAAATTTTCATAAAACTTTTAAGGTCATTATTGGACAAAAAATTACTGAATCATACTCAGGTTGTGTAATAAGTGTGTTAAAGTCGTGAAACCCCTTTAATAAGTTTTGTCCACTTATATATTTAAATTTTTCATTAATGAACTGATAACTGCATTTTTCTAAGCCAAACTGCTCAGGTGAGCGTTGTGCCTCATCGGCCTCTTGGTGATAAAAAACGATGTAATTTTTTATTTCGATGTAGTATTGCCACAATTACTGAAAGTAGAAAGAGCAAGAGCCAGCTTATGCATAAAATGGCCCTGTCCTTATATCAATTTATTAACTATCACCCTCTTACCCATCTCATGTCAAAATAAAGTAGACACTTGGTGCTTTCATTTTCTATAATAAAATTTCGTTTTGAGAATCAAGATATTGGAAAACAGGTTTGAGAAATTTCAATGTTCTTGAAATTTGGAGAAAAAATGCGTATTTGACTACCTTCAGCAAAGAATTTAAATATGAGCACAGCCAACGATCCAAAAAATAAAACATGTTTTTTGATCTTCAGAAACAGAGCTTTCATTATGTCTTTGCATATTTCGGATCAGAGGTTGTGCTCTATATGAAATAATGAAAAAAATGCTTTAACTTTAGGTCATTTTCAAGGGAATTTACAGGATAGGAGGAAAATGACGCATTTTATGACATCATAGTTGAGTATTTTTGACCAGCAATTTAAGTGCGAAGGAGTCTGAATACACATCTGATCAATTTTCATAATTTTCGGAAACATAGTCATTTTTTTTCACATATTATGTTCTTATGCGTTTCTTTTTCCTCTCAGTATCATATCCTGACTTTTAAACTCCTATTATACTATACATTTACTTCTGAACATTTCTTTTGTCTTTCGTTGTGTAAAAAAAAAATTGACTTTTTTCATAATTCTATATTAAATTTTAGTAAAACTAACTAGAACCTTTTCTAGAACTATATTTCAAACTAATTGTAAGTCCATTGTACAGTAGAAACACTGAGTTAAGGACGGATTTTTTCCGTTATTTCCCGATCATGAAAGGAGCACATGGCAGGTGTGACCGGTCAGCAGAGGATTCATACTACTCCGTGTTACCCGATCCCACCTCTGATAATTTTCTCTGCTTTTGCATTGTTTTATGGACTTATATATATATATATTGAATACTGTTCGTAATATCCACATCCTTCATATTTACTCAATATATACACATAACCATAGATGTAAGGAGAAAATTACTATTTTATATCATTTTGCCATTTTTTGAAAAGTATATCTACTTATATACAAAGATTTTTTTTTCTTCCAATAATGCTCTTCAAAATAGAGACTACGCAGGTTTTAATTAATATTTTAACTGCATATTAAAAATGGTTTGTTTTTTTTTAATTAATGGTTCAAGAGAATGTTTTACTCATACAACACAACTACAATCAGAATAAGAACAGTGTATTATTGTACTAGTAATACCTTCCCAGTCCGGATTATAGTATTTCCATCCGGTACAGCTTAATTAATTAAATGACATCCGCCGTAAACTTGGCATAATTTTCTTTGAAAATTGACTCCAAACTATGTACACTCTAGAAATAACATTGCAGAGTACATAATCAGTGAATGAAAGTCATGTTCAGTTTTCCTGGAGTATCTTATCTTCTGGATGTATTTCTAAAGCGTAGCGCCTTGAGATAGATCTGTGATACATGCTTTAAAGAATAAAGTACAGAATGGCAATGTCAGTGACCATCTACGAGCACCAAATTATAAAATTATATTGCCTTTGGGAATATCTATTTGTATATAGGACGAAGAATTAATATAAAAGTACCTTTGTTACAATGAAAGGACTTTCATTAATTAAAAAAAATCAACTACTGCGATACCAAAGTACCAGACTTATTGTACGTATATACTAATATATTTACATTTCCAATGTCTTTGTCCGAGATAAAATTACCAAATGTAAATGTACTTTATTTCCCCATCAATGTATTGGCGCGGTTTCCAAAAAAAAAAAACACGTGAAGGGCGGGACAAACAGCTAGACAGAAGCTGGACTTGGAGCACGTGGATTGGCGGAATCAAAGCATGTAAATATAAGGAATAACTGTCAGATTTTTCAATTTCATGAAGATAATCAATCGATTGGCTTGCGTGATAATTTTATGCATAAACGCCTTCGGCGTTTATGCAAATTATCACGCAAGCCAATCGATTGATCACTTCATGAAATCGAAAAATAAGACAGTTATTCCTGAATTCAAATCGTCTTCATCACATCTCCTTGGTCGAAACAATGACCTTCATTAGGGAAACAAGAGTTTCAGCAGCGTCGTTTAAAGTCATCATTTCCTAAGTTCTGTGGGCGCTACAATGACCTTGTCAGCAAATATGATTTAATCATTGAATCAAATGCTGACTGTGCCAATGGATTTTGCAGCGTTTCCGTATCTTTCACTTACCTGCGTATAAACTGATTTAAAAGGGTTGTCATCATGTTTCTAAATTTCTTAAGAATAAATTACTGTTATATTCTTGTAACGTATATATCATTATCGTTTCATTCTAAAACGGCCGTACACGTATTAAGGACACTACAAAACTATCCTGATGTCCGGTACTTGAAGTGAACATCACATCACACCCTCGGTCAACTTTACTATTTAACGTTTGTTCCGACAATTAAAAAATGATGAGCAGATTGATTAAGGGCTTGATTTAACTAAGGTCTTCCGAATTTAACGGAAGACCTTCTTGTTTTTCTTCTGTTTCTTTTTCCCTTTTATCATTACAACCAATTTTGTGCACGCGAGTTCTCAGAAACGACTCGTCCAATTTTCATTAAACTTTCCGATCTGGTAGGTATTGATCTGAACATTATTGAAATTTTTTTTTGATTGATGACGTCACTTCGTATCTCGAGATATTAAAGATTTTCTGATTTTCAGAGTGTCTGCTTATCCTGGGACCCCTCTTAACCGGCTTAAGATATTCAGTTAAGGGTTTCAATTCCTAATGGTACCAAATTCTCTACCCTTAAATGTCCGTCAAGAACACAATACTCTGATATTATACTAAAGCATCTTATAGTGGAAAAGGATTGCCCGCGAGAAATTTTTAAAAAGTTCATTAATTAAGCAGTAGTTAATTAACAAAGATTGCATTTAAGTCTATGGGGAAAAGCGTTTTTTCAAAATAAAAATTCAAATAATTTGAATATCAATAAATCCTGTGGTGGAAAGATGCATTGAAATATTATAAATAGAATGATAATTGAAAACAATGTTTTTACCGGCCAATTTTTTTTTAAATTGATTTTGTTTTTTTTAATTAAAAAAGGGGAGATAACTCTTACCAAAATTCAAGGTCATGAATTAGGACACATCCCACTAAACATACTTATAGTAATAAATGGGATGTATGTCTAAATACACTGAGTATACAATGCCTACATATCTGTTATGTCTTCAATTTCATTGAACTTCTTCCTATTAGGTATTGAAGACCTTAAGATTTTCAGTAAAGTAAGACGGAGGTTCGTTGATGTGCATATGGGTATTTAAAACTTTCTAGCGCAAAAGACGAAAAATTGACATTTTTTTGTTTCATATCTTCTTATCTGTTCATAATTTGTTAAAACATATTGAAGAAAATTTCTGTGGGATGATATGAGCTTTTATTAGATATCAATAAAAAAGGACTGACTCCTCATATTAGGGGCTCAGAGGGTCAAAATTCTGTCATCTTTAACTCATTAATTATCAACATTTTATAAAACATTACAGAATCAAAGAATTTATATTAACGATTTGCAACAATTTATTATAAAATTCTGATCATATGAAGCGTAATTAAGGGTCACAAGGGGCCAAAATGCTAAATCTTTGATGCTTAATATCTCGAAAAAGGGGGGTAATAAGCAATATTAACAAACATGGTCAGAATACTGTTCTAAACAATATGCGTATTTTTAACTTTTAAAAAATGGCCCCATTAGGGACTTGTGGGGATGGCCTCTAAATATTTCCATTCAGCATATCCCCACAACGAAAAGAAATATCTGAATAAGTGTTGAACAAAAGGTCTTTCATATCAAAACACCTTTCACCTGATATCAAGAAAAAAGGGCTGATTCTTCAACTTAGGGCCTCAGAGAGGTCAAAATTCTGTCATCTTTAACTCTTTAATTATCAATATTTTGTGATATATTACAGAAGCAAAGATATTCATCTTAAAAGTTTGCAACAATATATCAATATAACATTTTGATCATTTGTAGCGTAATTAGGTGTAACAAGGGGCCAGAATGCTAAATCTTTGATGCTTAATATTCCGAAAAAGGGGTGGGTGGGTATTTTGATAAGCAATATTGAACAAAAGATGGTCAGAATAATGTTCTAATCGATATGCGTATTTTTAACTTTTGAAAAATGTTCCCATTAAGGAATTGTAGGGGTGGCCTCTATATAAATATTTCTCTTCGGCATTTTTCGACAACGAAAAGAAATCTCTGAATAGGTGTTTAACACAAAGTCTTTAAAAACACAAGACCTTTCATTTGATATCAAGAAGAAGTGGGCTGACCCCTTAAAATAGGGGCTCAGTGGGACCTAAAGTCTTTCATCCTTAATTCTTCAATCATCAAGTCATCAATATTCTTTGATGACTTACAGAAGCAAATATATTCAACCTAACAATTTGCAACAATATATTATAAATTCTGATCATGTGTTACGTAATTAGGGTCACAAGGAGCCAGAATGCGAAAGTTTCGTGCTTTATATCTAAAAAAGGGGGATGTTTTGATCAGCAGTATTGATGTAAAGATAGTCAAAATGTTCTGAGCAACATGCATACTTTTAATTTTTGCATAAATGGCCCAATTGACTTGTAGGGGTGGCCCTTAAATATTTCCATTCAGCATATCCCCGCAACGAAAAGAAATCTCTGAATACATGTAGGTGTTGAACAAAAAGTCTTTCAAATCACCAGACCTTTCATTTGATATCAAGAATAAGGGACTGATTCCTCAAATTAGGGGCTCAGAGGGGCCAAAAGTCTTCAATCTTTAACTCTCTAATAATCAACTTTTTTGTGATACATTACAGAAGCCAAGATATTCATCTTAACGATTCACAACAACGTTTTATAAAATTTTGATCATATGTAGAGTAATAAGGGATTTCAAGGGGCCAAAATGCTATATCTTTGATGCTTTATATCTCGAAAAGAGGGACTTAATAAGCCATACTGAACAAAAGATGTTCAAGATATTGTAAAACTAACGTTTAAGCTTCATGTATCATTTCATAGTGGACTCCTTGACTCCTTTTTCCTTCACAAAGTCCGAGATCCGCCTATAATTTCTTATTTGTAGATATTGCCAGTCCAAAAACAGCGCATCAAATTTCCTACAAATTATACAGGAACACTACTAACGCTCGGTATTCAAACTGTGGGTTAGGTGTTGTTATACAACCGACGTTTAAAAGTAAGAATTCAATATTATAAAATTATGGACATATTGACCGTTCACTGAAGTCCATAATATTTATATTATATAAACACTCAAAGTAAATGCACTAATAGTAATACAGTGATTACAGTCCTAACTAAACAAACTCGGCTGCCATTACGTCACAATGGTTAAAAACACGCTTCTTATACTATGACGTCACATTCTACGTATCTTTAGTGCAACCGAACGCTGTGTTGTGCGTTATCATTTTACGTTGACGCGCTTTTGCGTCGTTACCACAAAAGGAGGAATATCACATGACGTCTTCTCAGCCAATGAAAATTACGATAATAATCCACTTATATGATATTTCAATTTGTGCTAGAAGTGATAATACTTTATTTTTTCTATATACAATGTATATTTCGATATATTTCATTGAAAATAATATTTTTTTAAGTACTGGCATGATAACATTTCTTGGCCACAAATTTTATGACAAATAAATTGATAATCCATGAAATCATTTTTTTGATATTTGTTTTTGATCAGTGTATATATTTTGAGAATATTGTATTTAAGTCCAACATGAAAACTAAAAGTCCAATACGTACAACGGATTTTATAGTCAGCATTAATCATCAATATTAGAACTGATGTAAATTATGAACCATAATTTCTATTCTAAAAAGTGAATGAGTAATGCTCTTTTAGAAAAAAGAAGACCACGCATTTTATGGTTTAAGTACTGAGATGAATAGATGAAATTGGACAAAGGTGACCAGCGATTTAAAAAGAAAAACATTGTTGTCAATGAAATATATACGGAAAAATAGAATTATTTTCACTTTCTGCACAGATCTGTATACCAACATTTTAATTATAGCTCAAGTATCTTTATCTAACAAATTGATTTTCTCTTCTTTTTTTTCTCCATAAATTGAAGTCAAATCAATCAATACATACGTATATATTTATTATCACCACTTATAACACATGGATATATAACCATCAAGAATAAAACTCTTTTCATTATCCATTTTGTCTTCAAAGTTTTGTAGCCTCATTGTATCGTCACTTTAGCGTAAGATTTCTCTGTGTGTAGTAGGTTAAAATCAATTTCCCAGTTTCTTTAGAAGAAAAAATCCGGAAAATCATATACGATAGTGAGAAACATGGGATAATTTACATAACGGGCTTACAAAACTAACTGTAATAAATAATTTCTTATCTTTATGATGTATATTCGAAATCTTGTTTGATACGAGGTGATATTTAAATTAATTTCAGTAAGTATGATTCTCAAAACGTTGTTTTAATCGAAATAACATCTTGTTCGGCCAATTTTGAACCACAGTGGTCCGAATAAGCCAATTTGAACCGATATAGTACCAAACCAATCGCCTACAGAAAACTTTCTAGTGGATGTGTTCATTGTGAAAAAAATACAATCCGAAAATTTATTAATTTTTTTGAGGAAAAAAAAAAACATTGTACATTTTTAGTGTGTTTTTATCATCATGACAGTCTCTGTTATCTGACTTCCATCAGCCAGTGTAGGCCACCATGGTTTGTACCAGTACGCTGGGGACCAGGGACCGTTTAGGAAGGCGTAACCACACCAATTAAACCACCATCCCCCTCTAGTGTGACTGACAGCAGCACAGTTACCATTACTCCACCTGTCGTTATCCCTGTCTGGTGTGGAGAAGTTCATCCCAGACAGATCGAGGTCAATAGGGTTACCTGTGTCTAACATACTATCTCCTGTAGAAGTAAAGAAAATGAAAATTAAGAAAACCAAGGAATATGACCCCATAAATGTCGTCAAGGTGATTTAATTCCCGGTAAACTGATTTCTTACACAATATTATTGTGTATTTAACAGTGAAATTAATCGATTGGTGATTAAATTGGTGATTTATCCAATGTAACCTATCATCTTTACACTTGGATAACATGAAGTCCTACTCGATTTAAGTTTATACAAATACACTACATGACTACCAAAACAGTGAACAAAGCTCAGATACACTGTACTAATATTGGAAAATATACCATTATACATAATGCGTTTGTCATGTTTCAATTTAGATATTTTTTTTAAGTTACCAATAATTAAAATATAAATATATTTAAATTAAAAATAAAATTATATTTTTGGCTACATTATCGACTTTTCTACATTAATGTTTGCTTCTTATTTTTGATGCTCTCCTACTTTTCTGAAGAATCATGCTAAGATTGTAAGGTATAACAGAAACCTAAACAATGTCTTTGACAATATCTACCATGGGCATTCTGTGGGAGGAAAATAATTTACAGACAGATACTTTTAAACACGAATACATAATTATCTCACCAACATGTCATTGTGCAACAAAGTCGTCATTATTTTTTATTTGTTCTCTGAACGGGTGAAACGTTTTGAATTGCACTCCTATCGATAAATATTTACATTAAACCAAGCTTAAGTGCTGCTATGGACTTTACAAATCTACTTTCATTATCCGACATCATGCATTTAAAACCGGAAGTATGAGTTCGGAAATTTGAAATCTCGATCCCGACTCAAATTTGACATCGGAAAGAAAAAATCTGTTTTTCTCAATTTTATGTATTTTCTTTAAAAAAAAAGTCAAAAGCCTGAGCGGCATGTTTGTAAACCTGAAAAAAAAAATGCTGGCCTTAGTGATATTTTGTCTTTAAAAATCCCAAAGATTTTATATCCGACTAAGTGGTCCGACGACCCACCTAAGGTCCCCTCTGTCGGACCAGCAAGGTAAAGTCTGTAGTTGTCTGTCTCGTTGTTTACAGAGAACGTCCCGTATTGTTGAAATAGATTGGTCCCATTGGTCAGAGTAATGGACACGTACAGGGATGGCCTGTTCTTGGTTAATTGATGAATGATGTCATTTCCTAAAATAAAAAGTGAATAACATGGCTTGCTCATCTTTCTTGAAATAAATCTATTTTATAATCTAATATTTAAAATAAATGTATTAGATTTTTAACCTGTGATTTCGTCATATTCTGTGAAATTTCACAAATTACGTGAAAATAGAAGTTTCAAAAACGTAAATGCAGTTTATTTGACAATGATGCCAAAAGCATTGCGCAATGGAAACCCAAGTCGGCCTTCCTAGATCAAAAGGACCTTATTCGGTAATGGTCATTTTTGCCCTCAGAATCAAAGAGACCAGTTCATTTTATGCATAAAATGTACCTGTTGATATACCAATTGATTGATTAACACTTGTTGTCATTTGATGCATCAACATGCAATGGCGAGTTTCATTCCCTATCAAAACAAGATGTGTTTGTGAAACACTATGCGCCCGGCGGCAACAAAATTCTTTAAAAAACGCTATTTAGTATTTGAGCATACATGTATATGTCATGGTCAAGGTCATTGACCTTGGTGTCATTTGAAAGCAATTAGTTGGTAAAGTAGGAATACTAAATATAAAGTCACTATCTCTTGTGGTTCAAAACTTATGGCAAAGGTACGAAAAACTATTTTAGCGTAAAGGTCACAGTCAATGTCACAATGTCATTGACATTGGTGTCAATTGAAAGAGATTAATTAGTGGAGTATGAATGCTAAATATGCAGCCTCTATCTTTTATGGTTCGAAATTTATGACAAAGGTACGAAAAAAACTATTTTATGCATACAGGTGACAGCCAAGGTCACAAGGACACTAACCTTGGTGTCATTTTAAAGGGCTTAAATTCGTGGAGTATGCATACCTAATATGAAGTCTCTATCTTTCATGGTTCAAAAGTTATGGTGAATATTAGGGTTTTCAAATAAAAGCTATTTTTAGAATATAGGTCATAGGCAAGGTCACAAAGCCATTGACCTTGGTGTCATTTGAAAGAGCTTACATATAATTAGTGGAGTATGCATACCAAATATGAAGTCTCTATCTTTCATTGTTCAAAAAATTATGGCGAAGGTTAAAGTTTGCAGACAAACAAACAAACAAATAAACAAACAAGCAGACAGACAGGACAAAAACAATATATGCCCCGGATCTATCAATCTGATCGCATAAAAATTTTCCTAGAAGTCCAGGTCTAAGAAAACTGACTTTATGAAATTGCAATGTTATTGAATTTTAAGGTAAAGAGATATAATTGAGTAATTTAATAGTAATTGAAAAAATAATACCACTGCTCTCTCTGATCTGAAAAAATAAAACAAGTCCTTTATTCCCCAGAATTAGTGCTATCATTTACTTGTTGCATATTTCACATATTAAAAATCGGAAAATACTTTAAGAATTAGCCGTTTTGTAGACTTTTTCAGAAAAGGAGGAAGATGAAGCATTTTGTGACGTCATAATGCATAGCTAGCCAAAAATCAAATCATTTTTTAAAGATACGCAGTCACCAAAGATCTAAGTGATATTCAATGCATTGTTAACTAAATTAATGCAGCTTCAGTTTTTCAGAAATTCACAGGGCCAAATAAGGCAAAGTAAAACCCTTGCTCTTTGACTAAAAAATATATATATATAATATTTTGTTACTTTTGGCGAAAACTTTGATACTTTGAAAAACTTTGGCGAAATCTTTCACACTTTGAGAAATTTTAGCGAATTTGATTTATTTAAGTTAACTATAGTTAAGTATAGTAAACTATAGTTAACTTATTTCTTATTTGTTACTGCAGGTGTGCTCAAAGTCATTGTTTTATAAAACGAGTAAAATTATATGTCCTGGCCAACAATAGAAACACAACCTCCAATTTTCGATAGAATTATTAATATTTCATATAAATATATGGTTAAATGTTTAAATCTTATAAATGATACACATCTGTTCTATTGAATAGTGCATCAAATTATTACTTATCTATCAAAACTCTGGTCCAAAAAAAATGTCAAGGATGTAGAGGTGGTAATATTTGAACTTTTCCTGGTTGTTGCAACCTTATAAAACGATCCTGCCATTTTGCCCTCACCTTTGGTCGACCAGTTATAGGGCGATCAGCAGTGGTACCAGTTTCCTTAAAGCGTTTGTACAGACGAGATTTTGTGCTTTTGTGGACATTAAATATTCTTGCAACATCACTATGGGTGTTTCCGGCCAACAATAACTGTACTGCCCTATTACGCGCATTGATTGAGACCCTACGCATACTTATGGCAGTACGAAAAACAAAGTTTAATGTCAAACTATATTTACCAGATACCTGAAGAATAACTAACAATTGAAAGACGCACGAAATACCATAGCGAATATACGTGCACGTACTAATCGGGGTATTTTATCGATCCCCCTTTGCATGAAAATGTGTAGTGTCACCGAGTTCAATCAACCATACTATTGCTTGAAAACGTGTATGCAATCCCTCGATTGAATATTGCTAACAATAAATCATAAAAAGTAAAACTTATTCATATCGAAATGGGGTGTCGTTTCTTTCGCGTGTCAGTATATCATAGAAATATATTAAAATTGTTCTTGAACAGGAAGGAGTTGTTGCTCTTTTATCATTTTGTTTTAACAGTTATTATTGATTAATAGAATTTCAGTTATCAGAATCATGATACTAAGTATAATCTTTTATTTCTTTCAAATGGTATCATAACACTTGCTTAAACAAATATATAGAACTTTCGTTATAATGCACTATGCATTCATGACATTGCATAACATCTATCTTAGCCTAATTATATTTCTATAGAAAGTAATTTATGAAATACTAACAAAATAAATACGAGGGGTGTTAGAAAAGTTCGCGGACAAGTTCAATTGTGAGCGCGCTATTTCCACGAAACCGGTCAAACTTTCCAGATAGAATCTTTACATTTTTTCCAATAAATATACAAGAAATTGTTGCTCTCCGGTGATTATTAAAAAATATACAGCTTTTTTATTTTGATAAAACTTGCTTCACGGAGCATGCTACATTTTGGCACGTTTACATCACAAAGACTTTTTATTAAAATTAAAAATTGCACAATTGTAGCGCAAAGAGATTTATGATATTTTACCTGCCGCTAAAGTATTCATGAAACGTCACTGGGAGAAATTTTGAACTAAATTGGAGGGTATATGACTGTTTTATAGCCGTTTGTATATGATCAGTGCGTAAAAACACAGCCAAAAATCGGAACGTCATTGAGCGTCATGGAGCACTGCACTACGTAAAAATTATGTATGCAGACTGGAAAATGTCTAAAAAGAGATTAAAATGTTCAAGATGCTGCCGGGAATTTCCTACACCTACAAAGAACAAGTTTTCAAATGGTTGTATCTTCATAAGAATGGAGGGATTGACATTTTGAAAGATTAACTCCAGCGATATTTCAATACCCCCGTATCGCATGGACATTGCGTTGCACCTATATGGTTTTGCATAGTTTCCATACCTGATCGATTAACTGATTAACTGCATAAACTTTTTTTTTAAGATCTCAATAATATCCGAATCAGTACAAAAGACATCGTAGAAGAAAAGTAACATGTCTTGATATAGATATTCAATTTTAAAGTAGAAAAAAGATCAGAAAAATCTAAAGATTTATAGAACTGCGACAAAGCATAACGGGTTGAAATCTGGTTGTTACGTCGCCTTACGTCAAGTGATTGCTCCGTGAATCCCATAAGCTCATAGTAAAAATCGTTGTAAATTTTCAAGATTTTATTATATGGACCTGATTTTTTACATACCAATAAACAAAATGTAGGAATTTATTCAGACATAGGTCATACTTCACAGTACACAATAGATTTTCCGTAATTCAGTGTGTCCGCGAACTTTTCTAACGACCCTCGTACATAGTTTAAACACGACATTAAGTAAAAAAAAATATTCTGCATATTTTTAATAAATTGAGACTTGATTTTTGAAACTTATTAATTACATTATTAAGAAATTAAATACATGCATATGTATACCTATCCAGTAAGACGAATGAACAGAACCAAAACCTTCTTTGTACTCATTCCAAGTTCTGTCGAAATCCGTTGATCCGTCAACACGCTTCTGTATAACCTATTGTATAAACAAAAGGATCTTTGAAATTATTTCATCAAATATTTATTCATACAATTCCATTTTTTATAATTCCATGCAGTGATTAATTCCTTCTCAAACTGACCGTCCAACCTCCATCTTTTATATCCATATCACAGTAAACATCCACTGGACTGTTGTAGGAGGGATAAACCTTATAAACACAGGACACAGTATAGCCGTCAGCAAGTAAACTTCTACAATCCATCGGCCGAACATTCCCTAAAATTTATCAAGAAAAATCAATAATTATTTTTATTTAGACACAATGTGGCATATATAACAGAAACAAAGAAAGAGAAATTAGACAAATTATTACAAAAACCCATCAATTTAACGCATTTATATAAAGGCAGGGTAGGTGAACAAAGAATACATTTCAACTGATTAATAATATTCAGCAATAATCAGCAGTACCCCACAGTAATATTAAGCAAAAATCAGTAGTGCCCCTAGCCAACCACACATGAACCCCTGACACTTGGCCACACATTTCACAATTTTGAAAAAGTCAGCACCCTTTCTTATCACAGGGTTTGATTAATACCAAATAGCAGATTTTGAAACTCTAAATCGTTTTAGAAATTAAAATTGTTAAGTGTTACATAGACCCCACCTTACCAGAACCTCTGACCCTGGAGTAATAAATTTCAATATTCTGGAAGAGGTAATCTTGCTCATCATAACTATGTACTTAGTTTATTTAAAACACATTATCTTTAGCTAGGAGAGAAATCATACGGATTTAAGATCAAAAGTATTTTGAATAAAGATCTTAATGATGAATCATATTCAATGATATTATATTCGAGAAATCAATGCCATTTCAACAAAATTTAAAGGTAAGCCATTTGAAGCTTTCTGACAAATATGTATTAAAGTAATAAAAGCTGAAAAGATGTTGATAACGGTTTAATTTTTATCATTATCAGGAACTATTCCAAAGCGCATGCATTAAAGAGAATTAATTCATATCAAATGAACTATGGGTAATTTAATCAATGAAATTTATTCTGAATGATGATCCTTGTATTAATCTAGGAAAAAAGGATATAAAGATACAAGTATGAATTATTAACTAAGATCAATTTCAAAGATTTTTTCTTAGCCAGTTCACCCATATGACATTGCATTAATAATACTGATAAAATACCCCTTTTTAATCGATCTTGAGAATTCCTTTTTCTCTTGATGATATTTATTTTACTGATAGATATTGTTAAAACTCTCAATAATATTACGTAGTATCACCACGTAATTTGCTATTGATCAGTAACCTGTTTTATTAAACTTGCTTAGATTTTTTTTTTCAAATAGGGGCGTATTCTAGACTTTTCCAAATACCGTACCTTAAAAAACACCAGGCGAGGTTTTAGCTAAGTCACACTAATGTTCCCTAGCTTTTCAAATATTCAATACTAGTATCATGATATACATTTATAAAAAGTTCTCATCGGAACACTATGTTTCCAAATATTTAAGGAATAAAGCTTATTTCAACTTATTGTGTACGATACTACATTACTGACGATTTAAAACTGCGAAATATACTTTGAGACACTGTCAAATACAATGAACTATAATTATTTAGAATTGACAACAGAATCTGATAAAAAAAAAAAAGTAGAGCTCCGGGCACCTTTTAAGCTCACATAATTTTTCGCACAAATTGATACCACATTGTTTCAGTGCAATTTTGTGTAAGAAGTCAACAAAATGTTCCTTAGACTAAAACTATCAAAAGTGATCATGACTTAATTTAAATTGTCTTACTTAAGACGTAATTTTCACAAATTAATTTGTATGATTTTGATGTTTTTGTCTGATAGATTGTGATAGTTCCCAAGTGGTTTTTCATTTCGTTTCTCGTTGATTACAGCTGTCTTTGTATCCGTTTTTCTGAAAATAGTTCTTTGCTTTGCCTAGATACAAAAACTGAAGCCTATGCAACATCTTTATTCTCTACACATTAACATGACTCTAAAGCGCAAGATGATAACAGTAATTTTCATCTGTTAAACTGCTCTTCTTGTTAAAAAGCTGTGTTTTCTTGACGAGTTACTTCCTGAAATTGAGCATAATGAAAGATTCGCCCCATCGTTTGAACATTTGAAGATTGAACGTTTCAGATACCTACGGTAAAATAATTTTCTATTCAAGAGTAACAATTAAGGGATAAACAATTTTTTACTTTCAAACCTTTTTGCATTATTTCTTATGGTAACATTGCCATTTTTAGGGGCCACGGTTCGACAAAGCCAAGACAAGTATGGAAATATGCAAAGTACTTAGAAAATGCTCATCGCTAGGAAGTCAGTTTGAATATGACAGCTAAATAATATCAAAGGAAGGTCGATCAATTTCATTTGTGACTACGTATTGTAAATTCATACAGAAGTAACATCATACGATTTATTAATAAAGTCACCTTCAAAACCTCGACTAAGAAAACTTAAGATAATGATTTTAAGCATCTACCATTGTCATAAGATTTGCCATATATTAGGGTAATGTCTCGTACTAAATTCAATTTTTTTTTTAGTTTTATTGCAAAAAGAATTTGACTTTCATTTGTGCGAAAAACCAAGATAGCTTAAAAAGTGCGAGGAGTTGCACGCCCGCTTAAAAGCGGGTTAATTGTAAATTACTGTGAAGTAATCTAAAAAATAAAAACGACTTAGCGAACCAACTTATTGGCGAGTATATTTTGTATTACCTTCCGTGTCCGGAATAAAGTATCTCCATCCTACTTCCGCTCCTGCTGAATTATTTGAATGACATCCGGTGTGAATTCGGCATTTCTGTCTTTGTAAATTGAAACCAAAGAAAGTACATCCTAGACCACACAATGCTGAGCACATAATCAGTGTATAAGCTTCATATTCAGCCAACAGGTTCTTCTGGAGTATATTATCATCTAAGTCTATTTTAGCTGTGTAGTGTCTTGATACAGACGTGGAGAGTCTGAACAAAACAACAAATAAAACCCAAAAGAATACCTTGTTCATCATAGTAACTGTTGTTTCTGAAGTTTTAATGGGAAATATATGTCATTCTGAGCTTTGATACATTTGTATAAATGAATTATCTTTTTTTCAAACCGAATTCTTAATTAACCAATTTCTGATTGGATAAATATACCGGGATTTCATAAATCGATCCATGGGCGAGTCATGCGACTTTGAGTTTGAAAAATTATTTCACTATTGTCTCCATCATTCAGACACATGACAGTTGTCTTTTTCACACATATCGAAGCGAGAAGATGATAAAGACTCATTTATATTGTTTATTTCTTTTATTTCCTGGGTTACAATTGTATGTTACATAAATGTTTTCTTTGTTATGCTAAATATGATTGTTGGTTAAAAAACTTAATATAGACTAAACCCCATAAGAATTTGAGAAATGTTGCGTCCTGAATATATATATATATAAATTTAAAGGGTATTGAGATAACAGTATAACAGTATTCAATATCAAAGTCCATAAAACAATACAAAATGGTGCAGAGCAAACACGGACCTCTAAAACGTCAGAGTTGGGATCAGGTGCCATGGAGGAGTAAGCATCCCCTGTCGACTGGTCAAACCCGAAGAAAGCCTATACTGAAATTTAACCCAACCGGATAATAGAGATACTAACATAAAAGTATTAAAAAAACAATGTACAGAAAATCGTTTTGACATAAGCAGTTGAACCACTAGCTTCCTCTGTCACAACACATCTATAAGATATAGATCTGTCAATGTCTCTGTCTGCGGTACTAAAGTTAATCTTTCGCAGATTAAAAGGGGGTTCCCTGTGTTCAACATTCTGCCTCCTGTGATTTAAAAAGAAGAGATCCAAGGGCCACATCGCTCATCTGTTTAGCCCAGTCTCCTATAAATTTAACAAGAGGCCCATGGGCCTTATAGGTCACCTGAGCATTACGCAACAACTTTCCAGTGATTGAATTTGATTCATGTTTTAAGCCAGATGCTATGGCATTCACAATTTTGAAAGAGGCACCATTGATCATCATAACAATACACTTAGCAGTTGCTTAGTTTATTTTTACTTTAACACCCAATTTTATGTTAACGCCCCCTAAATCTATCTGATTCAAGATCAATAATTTACCGCCTGTCAATCATTAAGAATACAATAGCTTCTGATTTGATTGACAGGTCAGCTTCCTGTGCTTCCTGATAATCTGAGTTTGCATGTTTTGAAAACAATACCTGGTCACGCGTCAAACTCTTTCATGTACCGCATAGTATACACGCGGGTTAGAAAACTCCAATATGTTTGAAATTTATTTCAAAAAATAATTGAAAGTAGATTATCAAAACATTGACGTAATGAAATTATTACTTTTCTATCTTCACTGTTGTTTTTTACTTGTAAGTGATATATCGTCCACGTTATCTGCAGAAAAAAGACCGCGTCCACAGAAACCGGCTCTATTTGGCGTAATTGAAAGTCCCACGATTTAAGTTATTTTTTAAGAAATGGGATATAAGGAAAATATTCAGCACTTATAAACGGCATGGCATAGTTTTAAAAAGAAGTTTTATTTTGTACTATGGCTATAATCCGCACGATGTTGTACAGAAATTGATGTCAGAATTAATGCTCGAATTTCATCTAGCGCCTGTATACATACGTAATGAAAATGTGCAGATAATTAATAGTGATCGATTAAGCTGCAGATCTGTAGCGTCATGGGTTTTTTTTTATTTGTCTTTGACCGTTATGGTCAAAGACAAATATATAAAACCATGACGCTACAGATCTGCAGCTATGATCGATTCTGAAAAGAAATCGTTCTAAGAATTAAATTTTGTTAACACACGAAGAATAAAAAAAATGGAATATTTTGGACAGCATTGTTGGCCAGGGGAAAAAAAACATTCCGATCGCGGTAAATGCATGTTCACATGTACGACGGATAGGTGGATTAATAATTTTTTTTATTTCAATATTCAGACTTTTTTAATTAAGTGATTTCTTTAATTGAAGATTAAAAAGATAAATATTATTGATTTGTAGTTTTTACTCGTGATTTTTTCTTTTATGTAAGCAAAACATTTTCTAAAACGATTTATACATGTATCTTATTATTTTTTTCCTTCAAAACATTACTATGATTACGACGAATGCGTTATAAGTTTACAAATAAATTTCAAATTAAAATGATTATTTTACGTAGTTTCACTCAAAACCAGACACAAAACACG